GTACAGTCCGGTGGAATGGGGAGAAATCTGAACCACTATTTTTTTTTTAAGATTTTTATTTATTTTTTGACACAGAGAGAGAGACAGCGAGAGAGGGAACACAAGCAGGGGGAGTGGGAGAAGAAGCAGGCCTGCCTGCTGAGCAAGGAGCCCGATATGGGGCTTGATCCCAGGACCCTGGCATCACAACCTGAGCTGAAGGCAAACGCTAAATGGCTGAGCCACCCAGGTGACCCTGCCACTCACTACTTCTGCCCCTATTTAAGTCAAGAGGAAGCTGGTTATCACTCTCTGAGATACCTTCTTCACATGCACAATAGATCTAAAGTCATCAACTGAACTAGACAATATCCCAGGTTTTTTTCCATTTCTAAAATGACATAAGAAGATATCCAATAAAAAATCGAAATAATATTTAGGAGCCCTACCCCATATTACTTTACACTTATAGTATATATAGACACTCAAATATCAACTAAGAGTCCATCATGAACAACTGGCTTATACTCAGCAAACTTCTAATTAAGACAATTATACTACATAAATACATACACATACACACACCTATACTATATATGATTATGTTACCTGTGTAAATGTAGCAAGTGTATATTAGAGAGCTAACATGTGTCCAATAACCTATATACATGCATTAAAGAAAATAACCAAAGAGTAACTAAGTGCGACCTGGGCACACTGGGCCATATTTTACTAGTGTCTAATTTTTCCATTCTAGGAAACACATGTTCAGTTCAGTCTATATTCGTGCCACATTTCATGTCATTTGCCTTTGCACTGAGTATAAGTTAAAAAGCCATGGTTATCAATGCACTTAGAAAGATTCTTGGATATGATAAACAGTTCCTGAATTTTGAAAACTAACTGAATATTTGATATTAAGAAATTATTAATAACTTTTAGGTAATGATGATGATGTTTTGGTTACAGTCTTTAAAAAGCATGTTTATCTCTGAAGATTACATACTGAAATAATTATGAATGAAATAATGTGACCTGCTTCAAAAGTCATTCAGCGTGAGGGAGGGTAAGAAGCAGGTAAGGGTACAGATAAAATAAGATGAGCTATGAACTGATAACTGTTGAAACTAGGTTAGGCACAGGGGAGGTTATCTTATCATGTTTATTTGGAATTCTCCCAAATAAAATCATAAAAACTCATTCTGATATGAGCTCAAAGAACACACCAATTTTCCAATTAAAAGGCTATGTTAGGATTATCTATGCTGTTTATGATAGTAGTATTTGCTGACAATAAAAAAAGAGCATGTTCTTCTGAATGTTGGAAGAAAAATTAAAATATAACTATGAATATGTAACTAATATATTCAGGAAATTTACATTGTACTGTTTATGAAATCTGTGGAGTAAATTCAAAGAGCTCTAAACTCTTGTTTTTACTTCCTAATCAAAAAGACCAACTTATGAAAATAACTCTAAGTAAAGTTCATCACTAACAAATGTACATTCTTTTCATTATTTAATAAGTGATGAGCAAGTTCTTCAACAAGCGTTGTCAGTGAATTAAAAAGATAGGGCTCCAGTTACACATAAGCTTTCATCATTTTTTTTCCAGACATACTCATTTTAAACAGTTCTGGATGGATACATATAGCAATACATAACATCAAGATGGCAGGGAAGGTCCATCAGGTAAAAGCGTGTGTCCATTTATCTTCAAGAAAGATTCAGACCTTTGGCAATGGAGTATTGGTTATATTTCAGGTATTGATGTGACGCTAAGATATATGAAATTTCTTTTTTTTTTTTTAAAGATTTTATTTATTTATTTGACAGAGAGAGAGAGACAGCAAGAGAGTGAACACAAGCAGGGGGAGTGGGAAAAGGAGAAGCAGGCTTCCCGCCAAGCAGGGAGCCCGATGCGGGGCTCGATCCCAGGACCCTGATATCATGACCTGAGCTGAAGGCAGTCGCTAAAACCAACTGAGCCACCCAGGCGCCCTTAGGATATATGAAATTTCATGGTACTTTTCCAATTTCAAGTAGTCTATATGTTGTCTTCATAAATTACATACATCCCAAAAATTCAAATATTTTCACAACCAAATTACATAGTCAGATGGTCTCTTCTTAGCAGAAGTAGGAAGATCCTTTGTTAGACGATGTATACTCTCTATCTGGAGAATATCATTACTGTACTTATTAACATACTTAGTGAAGTGGGGAATAGGGTGACATTTACTGAGCACACCATCTAGGAATCTGGGCTACTCCATGCCTCTTTATCTGGATAACTGATATTTATCATGTAGGTTCAATGGAAATATCATCTCCTCTAGAAAACTTCCTTGGACCTCCCTCTAAATAGACTGGAGTAGAATTCTATATGCTCTACTTCATGATACTTTTCATAATTATACCTATGTGACTCTTAATGTTTCTCCCACTAGACTACAAGCTCCAAGAGGTCAAAGACCATGTCTGTCCTGCTCACCACTGTACTTCCAGTTCCTAGCACAGCATGTGGTACACGGATTATGAACCCAGAGACTGTTCCTAAATCACCTGAGAGCTTTAACAAATACTGATGCCTGGACTGAGAGATTCTAAAATAATCGGTAGGAATCAAGTGGAGGCCAGGAACTGACAGTCTTTAAAAACACCCAGGGGAATCTGATGGGCAGTTAAGGTTGGAAGTCCTGGCTAATAATGTACACTCAATAAACAAATATGTAAGGCCCTCTAAATATCCCTAAAGACTACAGACTATGTATGTCATTTGAGGTCATTTTCACCTGCTAAAACTATAAAGTAATTAATGACATTAATAGGAATTTTGATGTGGCATTAATAAAGAGATATTTGGATTTTCCTAAATATCAAGAATAGGAAAGAACAAAATCACAGCTGGAAAGTACTTAAAAGCAAGTCAAGTAATTCATGACAAAACTATGTTATAAATAAATAATTGTAATCTCTCCATTGTACTTCCTTCTGTTCCAGGACTGTTCTTATGTTACCTCACTTATTCCTCCTGGCAACTTTGTCTTGTAAGCATCCCTATGCCTTATTTTATATACTCTATTTGGCATCTCATGCCACTGAAACTGCACTTAATAAGGTCACCAACAATAGCCTCAGTGCTAAATCTAAAGAACATCTCTTCATCTTATTCTTCATCTTAAAACGCTTCTGATCACTCTTCTCCTCGGTGGTTTTGTGACATTATACCCCCTGTTTTCGTCCTAGCCCAGGAGACCAATCCTTCTTTGTCTCTTTTGTAGGCTTGCCTTCTACTAGCCCTGTAAATATCGATCCCCAGGATTCTATCCTAAATTTTCCCCTTTTTTCAACTTCTACATACAGATCATCTGCATACAGATCTACCATTTGACCATCTACATACAGATCACATCCAAATCTCTTGCTCTTCAAATCCAAACTACCTATTGGGTATCTTCCCTTGTATGTCAGACAATGCCAAATCAATCGGTCCAAACAAAAGGAAAAAAAATGTTTTTCTCCTCTATGCTCCCTAACTCAATGGTGCCATCATCCTAACTAGTTGCTGAGGTCAGGTATCTGGGAATCACCCTTGACCCCTTCTTCCTCCTTCAATCACCAAGTCCTATCAACTCCAACTTCTGAACAGCTCTTGAATCTGTCTCTTTCTCCACATCCACCATGTCCATGGGAGATGAGATGCCTGAATCACCATAGCAGCCTCCTAACCAGCTTTACTGTTGCAGTCTTGCTCCCACTCATCCATTCACTACATGGATTAAAAAATAAGTCTCAATGGGTCTTTCCCCTGCTTCAGACCCTTAATCGTCAGCGCAATGTCCTCTGGATCAAGTCCAAAGCCCTTGAAGGGACTAACAAAGTCCATGCAAGACCTGGGACCACCTAACTCTAGCCTCCACTCTCGCCACTTTGTGTACTGAACTCCAGCCACAGAGAATTCAGTAGCCATCTCTTGCTTGAAGCCCTGTGCACATTCTATTTTCTCTTCCTGGAATGGTCTTTACCTCTTTCTTTTTCCCCTCCTCTATTTCAACTGGCCAATACAGATATCCTTCAGATCTTGGAATGTCACTTCTGTGACAGGAGGACTTAGAGGCTTAGAAAGTAACACTGTATTCTACTAGTCCATTCTACTTTTCTTGTCCATCTCCTCCCCACCCCTACCCCCCACTATTTTATAAGTCTCGTGTGAGCCAGGCCCATCTGCCATACTGACCACTGAATCCTTAGCACCCAATAGTGGCCAGCACACAGCAGGCACTGAATACATTCAATATCTGTGGGATGATAGAATTTTACAAATAAATGCTGATAAACCTGCATGTGAATGCAGCTGTGACTTCTTCCTTTAAACTTACTTTACAGCCTTTGCAAAGGTTGTTCCTTTTTTCAGACTAAAGTTGGCCCAGCAGGCTTTCTCATTCTTCTAGCTCTTAGAGAACATGGAGCCTTCTCTGAGACACCTTCCCAAATGGACCATCTAAAGCATTCTCCTCCCTCAAAATATTGTGATTTTTCTATATATCACTTGTCAACAACTTTGTATGTAGTTAGGTAAGTGTTTAACACCATAAGGGCAGGGACCATGTCTGTTTTATTCACCACTGTCCATCTGTACTTGGCACAATACCTGGCACATGGTGGGGCTCAACATATATTTGATGAATAGTGAGTGGACTACTACCATTTATTAAAGACTAATATTTCCACAACATAATGTTACTTCCCATAAAAATTTAACTATTCCTTAAATCAAACCTTCGTCAATACTGGCTGTCAACCATAAAAATACAGATATCAAGAGAGTTTTCTCTCTTACCTGTTATTCACTCACAGGTATAATGCTGACAAGCGGCAAAAACAAAAACAAAATAAATAAAAAACAAATACAGATACAAGAAAATTAACTAATCATTCCCTTAATTATTAAGCATTTCCAAAGTGTATTAAATCGACAATAAAAAATGGCATAATGACTAGAAGAGAAGCAGCCTTGCCTTTCAAATCTTGTACATATCCCTCTTTGCAGCTGTGCATGAGCTGAAGGATCCACCTGTGTTGGGCGCCAATACACTGCCAAGCAGGATCACCCAGCGCGTGAAGGTCAGACAGGTACCTGAAAAAGCAAGGCCAAGACTGATGAAGTAGGCTTCTGTAGAGCCATGAATAAGGACAAAAGGAAAGCTAGCATACTTTTAAGTCATTACCTTTTTTTTAAGAAAACCTAAAATTTTATCAATTAGTAAAGCACTTGTCAACATCAGTCTTCAATACTTAATTCTAAATGAAATATATTCAAATTTCTTTTTACGTGATTAAAAATAAAACTATATTTTTAAAAAATAAGGACTTTCTAAAAAGATAACCAAGAAGACAAAGACAACTTGCAACGATCCTAAATACTTAGTGTGAATTTATCTTTATATCTACATTTAGTTCACAGAGTATTTCCATACTTAGTTCTCAGTCATTACAGAAAACACAAGTGGAAGCCAGCAGAGGACACCTAGTGAATATTTTTTTGATTTCAATTGTTTTTTAATTCCTTTCTGGTCTGAAAAATGGCCACTAGGTGGCAGTGTGACATTATTTTTCTATGCAACCTAATCAGGCTATTTTATTACATAAAGAGATTTGGTGACAAATAAGCACTTACCTCTAACATCTGAACTCTATTTTCATGACTAAGAAAACATTTCTCTAGAAAATACAGTACATATGGGCATTTTTCTTAGTTTTTTAAATAGTTGTTGAAATATTCAAAGTCTTCTTTGTACATAAAATATTCAAACCCGGATTGAAAATTGAAACATATTTCAGTTGAAAAATTTTTGACAAATATTATTCAAGATTTGGCCCTCAGCCAACACAAAATATATAAACATACAGTAGTCCCCCCTCATCCACAAGGGAATATGATCCAAGATCTTCAGTGGATGTCTGAAACCACAGATAGTACTGAACCCTACATATACTGTTTTTTCCTATACATACATACCTATGATAAAGTTTAATTTATAATTTGGCACATAAGAGATTAACAACAATACCTAATAAAAAAACAGAACAATTACAACATAATATATGGTAGTAAAAGTTATGTGATGTGAATGTGGTCTCCCCTCTCAAAATATCTTACTGTACTGTACTCACCCTTCTTCTTGTGAGGATGTGAGATGATAAAATACCTAGTGACGAGAAGTGAGGGGAATGATGGAGGCACTGATATGTAGCACTAAGCTACTACTGACCTTCTGACTGTACTTCAGAAGGGGGATCATCTGCTTCCAGACCGCAGTTCACCACAGGTAACTGAAACCACGCAAATGAACCCACAGAGGAGGGACTACTACAGTAAGTTAAATCCAATTAAATCAACTCCAAAAGTTGAATTTATTGTCTTGACATTATTTTTAAACCATAAGCTATCTGTTGTCTTGGGGTTAAAGATTTTTGTTCAATGATACATTTTAATTAATGGTCACAAGCTGTGACCTCTAGCCAAATTCTAATCACTGAGGGATACACCAGATGCTTCTCTCCCACGTTCCTCCAGTACTAGGTATTTCCTTACTCACAGACATCTCAATTAGCAGCTAATTAGAGGAGAAACATTTTGTAATGAGTTAGCAATAAATAAACTGTTGAGACATCTGACATCACATTTAGGAACTATCCACCCTGACCTTTACAAGCTAATGCAGACAGCCTGGGCTCTAAGCAGAGCTGGGCATCTGATCATCCTGCAAAAGGGCCCCTTAAACAGTGGGGGTTCACAATGTACAAACAAAGATGCCTCAAAGTCAGCCCAAGAGCTGGCCTTTTTACGCCACCCCCCCCCCGACTGTCTATTTACAGGCTGCAAATAGGCTGTATCTGTGTTGAGAAAGGGACAAATCAATTAACAGCACCCCAAGAATAAAACTACAGTCTAACAAAATACATTTAGCCTGGCATAAATATTGCAACCCACTATGATTCTTCCTCTCACATAAGGCTTTTTTCATCTGGAATATAAATATGACAAATAGTACACTGTGTCATTTGTTTGCAAAAACGTGATTTTATTCTTTCTTGTTGGGGATAATTTGTCTTAGCATTCTCCTTAGATAGGTTTATTTTGCCTCCAAATACTTCTACAATACTTTCTCCTAACACTTTCACTCATATAACATCCTCAGATTTAGTGTTAGTAGTAAAGTATAGGAATACTCTTAGGAAAGCTGCTTCCTTTTAATTTTTAAACTACTGAAAATAGGAATACAAATGGTCCATTACAAGAACTCAATACAGCAAGAGAAATCAATAAACTCTTTTAATGACTTTTAAAATCATACATTTCTTTAGTATGGTGACTAGGTCCTTGTAAAATTTAATAATAATCCCTTATATCATATTAATAGGTATTACATTAAAAGAGTTTTATGAGGAATGATAGATGTGTTCTCTTGGAAATTCTACAGTGTTGCAATTCAAAAGTACAACCTGTGGGTAGGCTTTTCCTTGGTTAAATGAGTTAATCCAATAAATTTCTTCTTTTCTTTTAGTATGTAGTTTAACAAAGTATAATTGACCCTTGAACAACATGGGTTTGAACTGTGCAGGTCCACTTATATGTAGATTTTTTATAGTACTGTACCATAAATGTATTTTCTCTTATGATTCTCTTAATAACATTTTTTCTTCTCTGGCTTATTTTATTGTAAGAATAGAGTATATAACACATACAACATACAAAATGTGTTAATCGGCTATTTACATTATCGGTAAGCCTTCCAGTCAGCATTAGGCTATTAGTATTTAAGTTTCAGGGGAATCAAGTTATATGTGGATTTGTGACTGGGCAGATGGTTGGTGCCCCAACCCCCACACTGTTCAACAGTTAACTGTAGTTTCATTTCAAAGATTTTTGTTTAAAATATGGTACATGTTACTATTTCTTCTAAAACTGTGTATCAAAAGAAATTTGACAGCTTTTTTAGAGGGGAAAAATGTAAGAAATGCTATTTATGGCTATGATGAGCACATGCTCATTACTTTAAAATTTAAGCATTATACTTTTTAGCCATATTCTATGATTTTTAACAATTACTAGGGATAGGATCACACTCATATGGAAAGAAGCATATAACATAACTTCACCTCTCACTAAAGCTATAATAAGGAGAATGAAAATAATCAAAAGTTTTTAATTAGACAAGACAATAAACCAAAGTGAAACAATACAGTAGTAATTTGATTTTCAATCACACCATGCATAACTTCAGTTATGGAAGAGAACCAATAAAGATATACTTTGCTTATGGTAAGGCGGTATCCATCCCTACTTGATGCTCATAGTACCTATTGCCATAGATTCCAAAGTCCAACAGATATTTGACCTGGTTGTGATGTTGTTTTTCTTATTAATAACCAAAAAGTAATTTAAAAAGAATAATAAAATTAATTGCTCAGTGTCTTCTCAAGCATCAAAAATAAAATAATGATTACAAAATAAGTAAACTACTTGTATTCTTGTTGACATTCTTGTTCTTTTCCCTTTAAAATGACAGGAAAAAAGCACCTAAATCGGTCATTCAAAAAATCTTTTTTAACATTTTAACTAGTCATAAGAACTACACATTAGTTATCTACATAAATGGTAATTCACTAAATAAAGAAATCATACATCCAATAAGCATCAGCATATTACTACTGGTAAATTTAATAGCATAAATATAAACAGGTAAATAAATACAAAGCACAATTAAGTAGCACAGTGGAACACAGACAATAAGACGCTAACCAGCTGTGTATCCCTGGACAAGAGATTAACCTCCCTGGAACTCTTGTTTCTTTGTATGTTTGGAAAAAAAAAAAAAAAAGGAAGAAAAGAAAAAGCAGATGGATAACTAACATGTAGGTTATTTCTAGCTTTAAATTTCCACGATTCTAAGCCAGAAAAATCCCCCAAATACATTCTTTCCTACGGAGACAGCTTACAGGAAAGCAAAGATAGGCTCTGAGAACAGACAAACTTGAGTCCTACTTCTAGCTATGTGCACTGAGCAAGAATGAAGTCTGAGGTTCAGTTTCCTCACCTATAGGACATACGCCCCTGCAAGGCAGCTGGAAGGTTTAGAAGTGGTATACATAGCGCGTCGGAGACGATGCCCGAGGGTACTACAGACTCCCGGTAGTGGCAGCAATCGAAGTTAGTGCTCTCTACTCCCGTTCTAAAGCCTCTTGTCCCTTTCCTCTTCGGTAACACAAATGTGCCGACAATGACACCGGCTCATGCTGCTACTACTCTCCTAAGTCACAAGAACACAGGTCTGAGTGTGGACCATTGTCCCCTCCCCCACGGCAAGCACTGCAGCTTTCAGGCTAGACCCTCTTTTCATACCTGGAAATTATTTTCAATGGTCATATGGTGACGACAGCTAAATGCATAAATATACACAGTCAGTCTATTATTTTGTAAGTACTGAATATTCAATAAACTTCACTAATTAGAGAGGGCATTAAGTTTGGAAAATAACAACTTATTCTGAGAATAAAAGCCACATTCAAAATATGCCAGCAGAAAATAATGTTAATATTTTATTTTTATAAATCATAGATATGAAAAGCTTGTAACTTATATGCTTTGTCTCCAAATCCTGGTATAAACATCATATATATGTAATTTATTGACTACTTATATGCCAGGTGCTATATTAAATCCTTAAATGTATTCTTGATTATGTTTGCAACTACCCTGAGATACAGATTGTGTTATCATATCATTTCACAGATGAAGAAACTGAAAAGAGAATGCAAGTCACCCAAAGGGAATAGCTAGTTTCCTAGTTTCCATTATGCTATACTGCTTCTTTCTAAGGCCTTCTCATCATATCCTGTGGTATCCATCACTTTTTACATTACTGCAATTTTTTAAATTTATTTTTATTTTTTCTTTTCAATACCAAAGCCTTTACAAATTTTCTCCACCATTGAGCCTGAAGAATTTTTCACCCAGAATGACAGTGTTGTATTCTAAACCATACAGGGAGCCCCTGCCTTGTGGCCTGTGGGTGCCCACGGAGTGCAACACACACACACTGTCCTGCTAGGTTAGGTAAGCCATCACTGAGCAGGAGGAAGAAATGACCAAGCAATGAGGTTACTTTCCCTTTCCCCAAATAAGTAGACTTTTCTTGCCCTGAGTACTCCCAAATTTATTAGTATACAAAAGAACTTCGGTGTCCTATAGTAGCTACCTGTAAATTTCTGCTATTTGTCTTCCCTCTCACCATTTCATCAATCTCCTAATTTCCCCCAAATTAGTTTTAAGGGTTAGATGATGTATCTGGTACTATACAGATACATGTGATTTATCAAAATTCTTGCAGAAGGTTTACCTTATATAACGTTTTTGGTCATGTAAAGTCGATGGTGTCTCAAGCAATTTAGCCAGGAGTAATTCTCTTAAAGCTTCAATCCGTGTTTCTACTTCAGCATAATCTATTTAAAAAGGAAAGAATATAAAAGATTTACAGAATGGAAACTTAAAATCAAATTATGGAAAGTAGAACGGTGGCTGCCTTGGGGGACAGGGGTTGACTAAGAAGAGGCACAAGGGAACTTTCTGGAGTGACGAAAACATTCTGTCCAGGGTGTGGGTTACATGGGTGTGCACATTTGTCAAACTCACTGACCTATAATATGTAAGGACTGTGCATTTCACTGCATGTAAATTTACTACAACAAAAAAATTAAGTTTACTGAGTCCTTATGGATTTCATTTAGGAATTTATTAAAGCCCTGTGATATTTCTCCTAGTTGATAAGGCATTACCACAGGACATTTTAGGCTTTTCTTATTTTCTATAACTCTTGCATTCGAGATAATGTCAAAAATTGTTTAGTTTACTTTAAAATAAGGTTAGAATTCACTAAAAATGGCTTTTCTGAAGAGAGAAGATTAAAATGTAGGTTTCCATCTCTATAAAATATCCATAATTGATTCTTTCCAGTAAAAAAGATTTTTTAATGGCATCATCGTTAACAAATGGCAAAGAATGTCCAAGACTAACCTATCCTAAACCTATCTAGCCATGGTTTTTCATTTTCGCTACATCTTGGTAAGAAAAGCCATGTTATTTTTGAAGTAATTGTTTTACATTTTTAAAAGAGCACCATATAAACAAAAACTAAAATGCACATAACTTTCTTTGCAGAATACATTCTACATTCTTCCTATAAAAAGAAGTAGGAGATCTAAAAGTAATAAACAAATCTTACATTTTTTGAAAACTTGCACCTCCGTTTTCCCAAAGAGTGACTTGGCCTTTTCATAGTCATTAATAACCACATCATAATCACCCTTTAAAATAAAGGAACATTTTGGAGACTGTCAGTAAAGTATCATGAACACATTTGGTTAAGATCAAAAAAAATCTCAGTAACTCTTTACAATTTATGACATCATAACCATGGGTACATAAATATGTACTCTACCTTTTGAATATTCCTTTCAATATTTAGAGGAAGGTTGAAGAGAAACTTAAATCGCTGAAGCACATTGAGTGCATTTCTCGTGGAATCTGCCTTGTCCTTTCGACCTAATACTTCTTGAAATAATGTGTCCGCAGTAGTACTTGCTCCTATTTTAAAAAGACCAAAAGAAGCTTAAATAAAACAAAATGATAGGCTGCTATTATAGCTTTACATTAAAACTCAACAGACTTTTTTAAAAGTTAGCTATTTTGGAGATCTTTTATGGTTTGCTAAAATACATTTCCACCTTGCCCACTAAGTCTTTTTATATGTTAAAAATAGTATCCAATTAAAAATAACCATATCTACCAGGCCCAAATAAAATCACTAATTGAACTTACATTTATTTTAGCTACTCTTCTAAATTTTATAGCAATTATGGGTCCTTAGATTATTTCATTAGTTCAGATAATAGGTTAAAACACACATATACACACAGGCACACACAACTACATGAGTTAAATTCTCTGGATTTAATATCTGTACTATATGGTAATAAAACAAGAAAAATATTTACTTTTCAGAAAAGTTGTTCAAAAGAAATATTTCAGAACTAATTCTATTTCTTGGCAAAGTTATCTGTTTATGCAGGAGGCACAAATAATTACATAAGCAACTTAAATGACAAATTTTAACATATCATTAATGAATACTTCTTAAATCAGCTAATTCAATTTATACACAAACAGGATATTTTATGTATATATATATTTTTTAACCTAAAAGACTTCAAACTATACAAATCACTATAATGAAAGAATTGCTTTATCGAAAGCAAAATTTACTCTGTACAAAGACAGTTTAACTTTTTCAACTTGTGAAATACTTTTAATTAGCCACAAGAAAAGGGGAGAAAAAGGATAACTGTTTTTGGCTGTTTGATCGATGCTCATAAAAAGTTTCTACATTATCTGGTCTACTGACTATACTTTAAGCAAAGATGAAAAAGTTACCTCAGTCTCACTGGGTGGCTTGCATGCCATATTCTCTAGTCTACACTGTGGGTGGCCTGATCGTGTTAAAAGTTGTCTTTGTAACATAATTGTTTTATCTAAATAATGTTTAAATTCTGTTGAAATTTTAAAGGCCTAATAGAAAAACTTTGTCAAGATAGCTGTTTTCACCACATGCTTTCAAATGCAGAACACTAAATTTCTGTAAGATGAGAAAAAATATATTCCCTTCTTCCCAACAAACTACATAATGGTGGCTAAATGAAGTATTTGAAATCTGATTAGGGTTAAAACATTTTTCTTGGAAGAAAAGTATTTGTTTATCATTTAAAAATATAAACTTCATGATCTGAGGCTTCATAAATGAAGAGATACATAAATGCCACTAAATATTTCTAAAAGGTTGATTACTTATATGTCGCCTGTAGATGTTAAATTCACAAGTACTTTTTTTTGCACAATGAAAGAATTTGGGTCAAAAGTATAAGTGTTCAAAATTAGACTTTGCTCACTGTATTTTAAAGGTAAGAAAGAAATACCAACTAATAATTTTAACTCCTCTAGAAAGTGTGAAAACAAGTACGAGTAGAAAATTCACTTATCATTAAATAAAATAAACATTTTATAGAGAAAAGTTTATAGGAAGAAATTATAAACTATAAAATTATAACTTATTTATACAGAAATGTATATATGGAGAATTTTAAAATATGCACAGAGAAATAAGCTATGAAATCATAATTTTAATTTATAAATAATTTCTATCCATAAATTGTTATTGTGTTATGAATTTTGCCACATTCACAATAAAATTTTGGGAGTTTATAACTCTTTGATAACTGGATGATTATATCAGTAATAAAACAAATGAAAGCAGTGAAACTAAGCGGATAAAAGTCACCAACAGCTCACAAAATGCATTTTATGTCTTTATTCTCTAGGGCTAAGTATTAAGAAAAACAAAACCACTAAACTCAGTGGTGGTGTTCACACACCAAGTGACACTGCAGATAAACCACCAGTCAGACATCTGCCATGTCTCCCAGGAACAATTTCCCCCATGTACCCATCCATCCACATCTTCACTCCACCTTCTCACACTGAGAACACCCAGTTTTAAGGCAGCTGGCAGGGGCTGGAACAAACAGTGTGTACTCACAGAACAAATCGAATGGAGCTATGTGATAGTGAAAAACATGACTTAGGTCTTACAGGTTCCAGAACCAATCTTAGCCTTGGACAACTCTAGGCCTGAAAGTTGGTTGTTTCTCCTCCGAGGGATGTCACAACACCAGCTCACTGGACTGTGACGATCACAGTCTCAGTTACAGATGCACCGCAAGCACCAAAAACAAGGCCGCTATAATACAGGCACTGGGCTGCCACTATCATAGGTCAACAAGAGCTGTAAAAATTTTCCTCAATGTAAGATAGGAGAAAGAATGAAGATGCCGTGGAGGGAAGAAAAAACATTTTAGCCTCTATGGATCCCTTATAACCTAAAAAGAGTATTGGGGAGCTTTGGTGGGTAGCATAAAGACATACTACACATACACAATATGGAGTGCTTACTCTATGCTAGGTGCTATCCTAAAAACTTAGTAAGTCTTCTAAATTCTTCTTAATTATTCTAAAAATATGTATGAATTCTTAATTCACTTAAATTTGTTTATGTCCCTAAAACAGGCACTATTCTTATCCCCATTTTATAGTGCAAGCAACTGAAACAGAGAGGTTATTCAATCTGCTCAATGTGACACAGTCAGGATATAGTAAGAGGTACAAAGATATTTATGGGTATAACCCTCAGGAATCTCAAACCCAACAAGTTATAAGTCGAACTGAATATTTACCTCTTTACTCTTCTCCTCATGCCCCAAACCTGTTCCTTCTTGCTCTCGTTGAGGCCAGAAATCTGAAAGTCATCACTGACTACTACTTTTCTTCCTCCTTCCCACAGCAAACCGGTAGCCTTTCTCATCTCCTTAACATCTCTCATCTTGCCATTTGCTCTACCTTCAGCACCTGTTTTGGTTAAAAGTCCTCCGCACTTCATTCTTACATGACAACTGTGCACTTCTATCTGATGCCTCTTCTTGTCTCTAGCTCTCTCCTAATCAATTATCTATGCGGATGGCAGAATATTCTTTAAAAAGTTCATAATGTCACTTCTTTATTTAAAATCTTTCAGTGGCTTACCAACAATCTTCAGGATAAAGACAAATTCTACTACATAGAAAGCTTACCCTGAGCAGACCCCCATCTACCTTGCAGTCCACATCTGACATCTGCACAGTACCATACTGGATCCTGGTTCCTGGACTGCAGGAGGTCTCCTCCCTGAAGGCAGGGACTTCCTCCTTATGTGGCTTGCCCTGTCTGGGACACCTGTATCCATTTGGCTGCCCACATGCCAACCTCTGCTTGCCTGGATATTTACTACTCATCTTTGAAGGCTCACATGACCCTCTCCTGAGATTTTCTCACTCCACTTTTCAATGAGGTACATCTTGTGCAGACTCCAGATGTACCCCAGGATTACCACCAGCAGACAATTATCATACCATAATTTAACCACCTGCTTATCCATGTTCTCCATTAGACTATAAACTCTTAGTACTAACTCGTAAGTACTATCTTCATATCCCTGGGATAGAACTAACATGTGCTCAATAAACGCTTACAGAGTAAGGACTAAAAATAAGCCGCTGAATCAGTATCCAGTATTCTTTCTACTTATTGCTCTCGGCCTTTTGGCTAAGATCAAGTGCAGTATTCTTTCTACTTAGAGAGGTGGTGCAGTGCAGTACAAGCCCCTTTTGGCACAGTGTGCAGAACTGCATAAATAGCTATGCAAGAGGAAACCACGCAAAAAATTAATGGGAAAATTATGATTGTTCTGTCACTTTTAAAAATTTTTGTTGCAACATTAAAAACGTGCTTACTGCTGGTCATAAATGAATAAGAAAATGAAAAAAAAGTAAAACCAATATTTAGTACTCTATGATGATTTAAAACATTACAAACATTGAAGATACTAGTGTTCTATTTCTTTGTAAAAAAATTATCAAGCCTGCTTGCTTTTATTCATAAAATTTATAATACGTATCAAGCATCTTTTCTATAGTTTGATAAATTACCTTACTCCTTTCTAAATTTATCCTTTGTACTCTGAATATCAGTGATTGTCTCTGAGCACTCCTTTAAGCATCACTTCCCCTAGGATGTTTTCATCCTTTTCATCATACTTTCCTCATTTCCACTGATAGATTCACCTTTATCCAGTTCCTCTGGCTGCACAGCTCAAGTCTCTTGAACAGCGGCAGTGCCTACATCCCCACTGTCAGCTGCTTCCTCTGTAACTCCTCCAGTCATGGTAGATTTGAATTTCACTTACACTGTAACCACTTTTTTTTTTTAATGCACTTTCATCTCTGTGGCTCAATCCCCTCTTTGATTATCCATTTCTATAAAAAGCCATACGAGTTTATGTCTGGGGGACAAGGAGTCCACACAACTATATGTTTTGTTGTCTGTGCATGAATATATGTATGGTGACCAGTCGCAGACAGATTCTGAAGAAAAAGAGGTAACTGCTCACTGATCATCTCTCACATCTCTTATTTATGGAGTGATCTGTGGACTGAACAACGAGCAACCACTTTTGTACTTTATGCAATTATGACAAATATACTGTGATAATGGGAATCTGAGCCATGTTGCTGGAGGACAGGTGTATTTAACCAAACTGTGGTGACTGAAATTCATGCCTATCAAAACCATACACAGCAAGCTCTGTTGGTAAAGTACAGATTTGAAGCCAGATTTCTAGATATAAATCCCAGCTCTGCCACTTACTGCTTATATGACTTTAGATACCTCATTTAATCTTCCTGGGCTTCAGTTTTTCGTCAATAAAATGGAAATAACAGGGGTGCCTGGGTGGCTCAGTCAGTTAAGTGTTTGCCTATGATTTCAGCTCAGGTCTTGATCTCAGTCTCGTGAGTTCAGGACCCCCATTAGGCTCTGCGCTGGGTAAGGAGTCTACTTAAAAAAAAAAAATAGATATAACAGCACAAGCCTCATAGAGAACTAAATACATAGAGAATGTTTAAAGCAATACCTGACCCCTTAGTGAGTACTGTAAAAGTTTTAACTATTAACCATCACGGCTGCTACTATAAATACTTATATAATATTGTCTATACCTGCACTAATATGTAGCTACTGGCCACATAGGGCTATTTCAATTTAAATTTATTAAAATTAAATAAAAATTAAAGAATTAATTCCTCAGCAATATAGCTACATTTTAAGTGCTCAATAACTATAACCCCAAAAGTTCTATTGGACAGCAGTACTCTATACTCTTGGAATAGGTAAGGACATAAGAGTTGGATATGTGAATTTGATATAAATTAATAGTCATCCCTTCATCCCTGGCTTGAAATCAAGAAGGAATTATTAGGTTCAAAGGCAAATATAAAAAACACGTCAAGGAAAATAAAAAAATTTCAATGAAAGGCATCAATATTGATATATTCTGAATAAAATGGACTAAGTTTCTTATAGTCAACATTACTCTTTAGAAACTTAAAGTGAAAGAGGTTGCCCTTTTGAATTTTGAAAACTCTCATTTAAAATAACTAAGGAAAAACACATACAAATTGTTATATAATTATACATAAGATTAAAGCATTAATAATAACCTAAGCAAACTAAACTACATTCATACTCATCTATTCTTTCCTTCCTTTCCAAAAGAAAAGAAATTAAATTTTCCATAGTACTTCTATAATTATTTTTGGGAGACAGCATGTGGATGAGCTGGAGGGGCAGGGGCAGAGGGAGAAGAGAGAATCTTAAGCAGGCTAAGCAGGCTCCATGCTCAGCACAGAGCCTGACGGGGGCTCAATCTCAAGATCCTGAGATCATGACCTGAGCTGAAACCAAGAGTCTGACACTTAAACAACTGAGACACCAGGTGCCCCTCTATAATTTTTTTTTTTTCTTTTCTGATTCTCCAGCTTCCAAACCGGGACAAAGGACATGTGTACAGGGCAGGGGCCATATGTCTTCCATCTTTGTATCTCACACTGAACCAAACATGGTACTTTTTACACAACCAGTCTTAAATATTAATGTTTGTCATGTTGACCTGAATTAGCAAAACCTTATCCTAAGATAGCAAACATCAACATCAAGTTCATAAAAAATGTTTCCAGAAAAAAGAAAGTGTTATAAAAAGGAATATATTTAAAGAAAAATTTTTACACCAGAAAGCCCTGAAGGAGAGTCTCATAAAGAAATGACTAGTTAAGCCCAACTTTATCGAAGAAGAGTAAACTTCAATAAAGTTAATATGACACATTTCTAGATAAAGTTTGTGGTTATAAAGGAATAGAAGTAAAATAATTTCCCTTACAAATTTTATATCACAAGTCCCCAGGGAGGATTTCCTAAACTACTCCTTGAAAGAAAAAATTATGTTAACACACTATGCTAAACCTACCACATGAAACAGATCTTAATTTTTTCCAAACCTTAATAAGTATCTATTTTCTTTTACTGATACAACAATATAATTACAATAGCAGCTTGTTCTTATAAATCACTTTTTTAAAGTTACTGAAATAATATCATTTTTTTACAGATATCATGGTTTGATGACAAGTTCTTCAGTGAAAATAGCATCCCTGAGTAGAAATACCTTTCTAAGACCTTAAAATGTCTGACTATATTAATACAGAAATAGCTTTAGTAAATGTTTGAGTTGAATTCAGAATATATTAATTTCAACTAAGCAGGTGACTTGGTTCTCAGACAAAAACAAGGCAAAATCTCAAGGCAAAATAACAACAACAACCCACCACCACAACTACCAGAGGGAAATATTTAAAGTGCTACTAAACTCATAAATTTAGGATGAAATCAAAGTACTCAAGTTCTACCAAGGAAAGCCTACATCAAATTAAAGCTTCTTTCCAGAAAATATTTTATCAGGGATCCTGGGGTTTTAAAAACAGACATTTATCAAAAAAATGTTCAGAAAGTTATCACAGGAATAAATTAAGCTAGAAGTCCAAAACTAACTCAATATCATAATCCTGCATTCACGGAATCACTAAAGATCTGATGTAAGGGTTCTTAAATGTTTTAGCTATTCTTAACCCTATTTCATGGGGAAATCATTTGCTATACTTATTTTTAAAAAACAAAGGAGATTCCCCTGGGCACTATTGCTCTTTGTCAAATGTTTACTATATGAGTGAATGAGGAGAATGTACTTTTAAGCTGCTAATATTATAATAGGAATTGATTCATCTGATGAGTTTCTTCCAGATCATTAGGATCAGTAGCTGGTAACTAGAATGTCGGCGGGGGGGGGGGGGGGGGGGG